AGAGTACTATACTATAGCAGCTCTACTAGATCTCTTCTATTAAATTAATATCTACACTTCTCAAGATTAAATAGAGAAGAAATGAGACTTATATATTAAATTAATCTGAGACTATTATAATATTAACTATCAGAGATTTGAATAAGTAGATATTTAAGATATGAAAATAGTGAAATATAATTCTCTAGTAAGTAATAATCTTTAATAATACTAACTTTGAAACAGAACTTATATATATTAATTATAACTGAAAATCAGATAAAACTATATACTTATAAAACTGAATTTAACTACTATCTTTAAGATAATCTGATGAATTTATACATTAAATTAATTCTAAAGTTATGAAAAATTATTAAGAGTATATATTCAACTATTATACTGATAATATATAATATTCTAATAATTTCATTGACAGAGATGAAAATGAAGTGAAAGTTTAACTTAAGTTAAGATATTTATTACTATCACTAGAGATAATTATAAGAAGAAATAATTAAGAAACTTATAATTATAAAATATGAAATTATCAGATAGTTTAATATCTCTGATCACAGTATATCAGAGAAGTGTAGTTTTCATAAAAAAGTGAAGAATAAACTTATACAAGAATGTATTTAGTTGTTTCATAAGTATTATTAATAATTATTATCAAATTCTGATTATATAAGTAATCACTGTATAAACTGAATAAAACTGATTTTAATCTTCAGTCTCAGTCTTATTCTGATTTTAAAAGAATAATTATCTTTCATAGTTTATTCTGAGAAATTACTCTTATTTCACTGTTCTTGAATTAAATCTGGTTATTTTTCACATCATTTCTCTCAGAAATGGTCTATTTTCAGATTTTTTTAAGGCTTGATCCTGGTGAGACTCACGCCAAGAAATGTATGAGATCAGATCAAATGAGATCAAATGTGAAATTCATGATCCTGCCGGTCAGTCTATCTGTATGAGAAGTCTGTTTCTACTGATTCTTTCATTCTTTCTGATTTCTTTGATGATTTCTATCTATTCTTTGACTACTCAGATTCTGATTGAGCCGGCCTCTTAAATGATGATAGAAAATTAACATCTGGCTATGTTTTTAAGCTTGCAGATGGGCCCCGGTGGCCGAATGATTAATGCAGCCACCTGGTAGCACCTTGGCGTGAGAAACCAAGGCGCGTGAGTTTGAGACCCGCAGGGGATACATTAAATCCAGAACTCAAGCACTTCAGGTTTCTAATAAATACAGAGATGTACAAATCACTTTAATGAATCACTCTATATTTCTGAGCTGAGAAGTTATTATTGCATGTATCTAATTATCACTTCTTTGTATTTTCCTATGTTCTTGTTATCTTGGTGTGGTCTCAACATCTGTATTTCCTTCTGTATAATCAATACTTAATCTGTATTTAACATCATACAAGGACTCATCATAAGCTTCACTTGCATATAAGTATAATGAAAGAATAATAATAATAATAATAATAATACTAAAGCTTGTAGATAGTCTAATTTCATGATATTTAGTAAAGTAATCTTATGTATCTCTAAGTTTTAATAAGACTAAATATATAACTCTTAGTGAGATGATCTGTGAAGTAACATGAATTCAGAATCTTATAATTAAGCTTAACTTTATTACTACATCTCTGATATAGATTCTCACTGATAATAAGAGTATTATAAATCTTATAAAGATAACAGTTATTACAGTCTGAAGTAAGTATATTGATATATATTTTCATTTTTTATATTGACAGTTGAATCAGATAGTCATTAATTTAGAATACATTTTCACTACTTAGATAATAACAGATAAACTCACTAAATCTCTAGATATTATAATATTTATATAATTTATGATTTTGCTAGATCTTATAGATATAAAAGTTAAAAATGTTTAATTTTACATTTGTATTTGATTTTGACAGACTATCTTGATGATTTGAGTGTTTTTGTATGTGATTCTTGTTATCTTAAGAAGGGGCGTTGGCTGTTACAGTCATTGCAGTTAGTGATCCCACTAGATCATGTGACCCACCACTATATTATGTTCTTGTAGATAGATCTATCAATACAACCTTCAACTATTCTATAAAAATGAGTTTTTCAAATAAATCTTGCATAACTTCGAGAAAGTGAAAGATAGAATTCAAAAGCCCCCAAAATAGTTTAATGCTAAGCCGACGAAATCCTGAAAACTAAAACTGATGACATTTTCTATCTAAGAAACATTCGCTTTATTGATAGCTAACCATGCTTCATGTGCCTTTTTCTGTCTTTCCCAATCCTTCCTCAATTTTTTGCTTCTGCTCTTTGTGATTTCTTCCCCAGCTGCGTCTCTAGTGGGCAACCCGTCCTCGTCCCAAGCACTAAACTCACTGGTCCGGAATAACTCGAGGTGACTGGTTTTACCCTTCTCAGCTCTCTTTAGTGTCTCCTTTTCTTTATTTTCTTTCTCTATCTGCTTTTGGTGTGCCCGAGCAGCTTTCTCTTCACGCGCTTGGATCAATTCCCTGGTGAGAGGGCGAACTAGGGCGGGCTGGTTATCGCGGTCTTCGAGGTAGACTCCGAGATCAAATAGGTCTATGTCACGGACGCGGTCGCAAAGGGTAAGGATTTCCTTCGAAATGGAGCTCGTCTGCTCGAGGGAGGAGACTTTTGCGCAGAAATCCGAGAGGAGATTTTTGTATACCCCCGCTTCTACCTCAGGCACCTCAGATGGTTGTTGGATTGCTGCAGTTCCTTTCTCAACAATACCCTTTATGGTCTCCTCTGATATTCCGTCTTTGGCTCTGGCAACTTCTCGAAGAGAATCCCGCATTGTAGACAGAGGGTAGAGATATGGTTTTGCAGCATCTGGAATATCAATGCCCGACCAGCCAATTTCACTTGTGGTCGGTGATGCGCTACCGTTGAGACCGAAAATGTTGACCATTGATGTTACCCAGGTTGCAGCTTCCTGTACATCCTTGATTGCTAACGTGGATTTATCAGCGATGTTGTATTTGGATATAAGTTCCGATATCGCATACATCGCACCGGCAGTATTAAACGAATCACACAAGCTCTGATGAACAGCATCCTGTGCGGACTTAAGCGCGACGGCGAAAGTGTTTTCTTTTGAGCCTGGCGTAACGTCTTGTTGTGCCACTGCATCTTTAGCTTTGATGAAAAAGTTGTTGGTTTTCTCTTCCCAGGCATTTCCAGCCTTCACGAGATCCTCTGTGATTTCGATTCCATCCTTCCATCCACCTAATAGGAAAACAATGCGAAGGCTTCTAGGGGTCCAGTCACCTTTATCAAGAGCCTCCCGGATAGTAGTGAAGTTCTTGAGTGATTTCGACATCTTCGACCCCTGAATAGAAAGGTGTCCCATGTGCAGGAAGTAGTTCACCCAGTGGTGGTCAGCGCATGTTTCATGCCAGTAAGCTTCACTTTGAGCCAGCTCATTGTCGTGATGTGGAAATGCCAGATCAATTCCACCGGAATGGATATCCATCTGCTTCCCAAGCTTGGCCGATGCCATGGCTGAGCATTCAATATGCCAGCCAGGGCGGCCATCACCCCAGGGGCTCGGCCAGCTAGGTTCACCCGCTTTAGAGGCCTTCCAAAGAGCGAAATCTGCAGCAGAACGTTTTTCTGTTGTCTTTTTTGTTAAGGCGCCTTCTCCCTCCGCCTGAAGTTTCGTATCATTCCGATTCCAGGGCTCCAATCTAGCATAACTATTCCCTGAAGCCTCAAAAGCCGTAATGTCAAAATAAACAGACCCATCAGAAGTGACATAGCCGAATTTATGATCGATAATCCTCTCGACAAAGCTCACGATCTCCGGCATATACTCCGTCACTCGGGTAATGGCGTCAGGGTCTAGGACATTTAAATCCCGGACATCCTGCATGAAACGCGTCTCATACTTCTTCGCTAATTTTGTGAAGATCAAACGGTCCTCCCCGCGTATCGAAGATCCATGAACTGAATCAAGATATTCTAGTAGCACATCCTTGACATCGTTGTAGAATGATTCACTCAAGATACTCTCCTCCGCGGATGATACTTTTGCGAGCGCATTCGCGGCAGAAGACGCGGTTTTTATGTGCATTTTCAATTTTGCTTCGTCGTCTCCAGGCTTTCCATTGCCATCAAGAGCTCCACCATTCAAGATGGTAGCGTATACCTTCTCCACCTCGTCCTGATAGCGCTCCGGAGCTAGTCCAGCCTCGAGCAGTGGAAGCTTCTTCTCCAGATAAGCGGAATACGCCGAGAGAGCTATCTCAATAACTTTATCATCAACCGTAGGGTGGGAATATACGAATTCGGTAAAGAAATGCTGTTGTCGGCCTCTTGAAATAATCTGGCACTTGTATCAGCCCTGCGCTTGATCAGTAAAGTCTCTTTCCAGACACACACCTTATCATCCACATCCGTGATATTCATAATAAACTTGACATCGAACTTGAAATAATCGCGCATTATTCGCCGTAGAATATCATTGCTGACATAGTTTCTGGCATGGCCTAGATGCGCATCGTCGTAGACGGTCGGACCGCATGCATACCAAGTAACCGTTCGGCCACTGGGGTCAAGAGGAACGAATGGGACTTTCGATCTGGTAAGAGAATTGTAAATCTTCAAGGGAGGCAGACGTGAAGCGGATTCAGGATGCGGCTTAGGCTGGTTCCACGGCGGTTGCTGGCGAGCTGTCGACATGGTTGTGACTGGGATGGAGCTGCTGCAGGGGCGGAAAAGGGCAGGGCGCGTTTTGTCTAAGTCAAAGTGGCTGGATAAGCAACCGGCGCGGAAGAAGGGCCTCATAAATGAGAGACAGACATGGGAGAACAAGAGGAAGAGAAGAGGATGTAAAAAGAGAAGGGAGACGAGGGGTGGACGAGGGGTGGACGAGGGGGGGCAGAGGCGTCAGGCTGCGGATGTTTCCTGCATGGTTCTTCTGCGATGCGGGGAGTTGGAAGGAGAAGTTCTTGCCCTAAACCCTATTTGGCCAAATCCAGCCAGCATAATGCGATACGAAGATAACTACTAGCTTGAACTGGGTCTTCCTTTTTCCTATAGGTACATATATTTTTGGAAATCGTTTAGGATATTGTCTTCTCTACTTCACAGGTGTTCACCTCGCCATGCCGTCGCCATTCCTTACTCCAGGCTCCACGGCCAGGGCAGATTCTTTGGCCATGCTCCATTTGCGGCGAAATCTGCTGATGCCCACGGTGCTCAAGACTCACGATGACGAAAACCTTGGTTATGACGAAGGGAAAGTGACCAATACGCGCTTTGGCTCGTTTCCACACAGCACATTGATCGGACAGCCTTGGGGCTCGCAGATTGTTGCATCCAAGGTCGACACAGGCTCGCGGGGACGTAAATTACCCAAGAGGCAGCCTCCCACCTTAAAGCGGAAAGCAGATGAAATGGATATTTCTGAGGCCAATGTTGATGATGATGATGCGAAACTAACGGTACCCAAAGCTGCTGTCGCTGCATCTAGCGGTTTTATTCACCTTCTCCCTCCCACACCCGAAGCTTGGACTGCCTCCCTCCCCCACCGAACGCAAGTAGTATATACCCCCGATTACAGCTACATATTACACCGAATACGCGCTAGACCTGGAAGCACCCTGATTGAAGCAGGTGCAGGAAGTGGATCATTCACCCATGCGGCTGCGCGGGCGGTGTTTAACGGATATCTTTCAGAAACAAAACCCGCGAGCAACAAACATCTCGGAAAAGTGTGTAGCTTTGAGTTCCATGTGCAACGGGCGGTGAAAATTCGTGAAGAGATTCGTGATCATGGACTGGAAGGTATTGTCCACGTGAACCACAGGGACGTCTACAATGAGGGGTTTTTGTTAGGGGAGCCGTTCAAAGGCGAATCACCCAAAGCCAACGCGGTCTTCCTGGACCTCCCGGCTCCATGGCTTGCGCTGAAACACCTTGTTCGAGAACCAGCTGATGGATCTCCATCCCCCCTTGACCCATCGTCACCTGTATATATTTGCACATTCTCACCATGTCTGGAACAAGTCCAGCGGACCATTAGCGTGCTGCGGCAACTTGACTGGATATCGATATCGATGGTTGAAATATCCCATCGGAACATTGAGGTGCGGAGAGAGCGACACGGGGTTGAAGGTGAAGGGGGTCGAGGTACCATTCCCGGTCCTCGAAACGTAGAAGAATCGGTAATCAAACTTCGAGCCATTAAGGAACGTGGGACAGCTTTCCATGCCAGCCAGGCACAGAGCGAGGCCGAAAGCGGACCTGCATCCACTTCCAAAAACGAAACAAAAAACAAGAACTACAGTGGTGACGATGGCTATGGCCAGAGTGTCAAGGAGGATACCAAAATTGCCGACCCGGATGGTACCGGCAAGCCTGACGTATCATCAATATCATTAACGTCGACGCAAACAACCTCGTCTGAACAACCTCCGTTGCCAACCTACAAACAAGGGAATATCATACATCGCAGCGAGCCCGATCTCAAGACTCACACTTCGTATCTTGTCTTTGCCATTTTACCCGTCGCATGGTCGGAAGAAGAAGAGAATCGATGCCGGGAGAAGTGGCCGAGTGTTGCGAAGTCCCGCGCTGCTGATGGGGCGCTAGGGGCACCGAAGCGCAAGAAGTAGGTGAAACGGGAAGCTAGGGCTGAGAAAAAGATGGCAAAGAAAGCGGAGGAGGAATGATTTAATGTCCTCGGTGAAATATATGTACTAGTGATTACCAGGGCTCCATAACATACGTCAGATTAACTGGTAACCATATCTGAGAATTTTCACTCGCCGCACAATTATTTGCATAAGTAGGCATTTAATATTACGAGACGGCGAATACCCACAATATGTATGAACATCTATCCTGCTACCGAAAAAGAAATATTGGTGTCTTTTTTCATAAAACATCATCCAGAAATCATAACCCAAAATTTAGAAATCCCTAATTTGTTCTCGTTATTCTCGTGGCAAAAAAAATGCAAAGCGCTCGAGGCTCTATTTACAAGCAAGCTGGCTTGAAATAAAAAGGTATTAAGTTATGGTATAATATGGTGAAATAGTGGCCGGGCCCCCCCGCGGGGGGGGCGGGGGGGGGGGGAAGAATGTATAAGGGCAAGGAGGCACCGAAAAGTATGTTGGTGCACGCGCATACAAAAAGTAATGTAGGAGCCACGTCGTAAAGTGTAGAGAGCATGTCCATGGCAAGGGATCAAGATGCCCATCAGTGTGAAACAGAACAAGATTCTAGTATCAGCTTTTATAGCCCATTTTCGTTCTTGAATTTATCCCACGCTTCATTTAATGTACTGAAAACAGCACCAGCAATCATTTTCTGCTCGGTGGTTGCGTTAACAGGGATCTACCGAGCGCAAAAGTAAAAACACAGAGTCAGTAATGGCCAAATCCGAAATATCTATGACCTTCCAAGTAGAAAATAAAAAATGAGGGAACTGGGGGTAGTGGAGTTTAGCATGCACTGACGTACCTTATCCGGATGCACCTTGGCAATCCCTTTCATATACTGGATTTTAACCTTGTTGGGTAGAATCAACTCAGCCATGCTAATCTTCTTCCACGCAGCTTCCGGCCACAAAACGGTATCCAAGCTTGCCAAAAGAGCGCGGAGATTGTCTTGCTTCCCTCCCTTCCATGCGTTTATGCGAGCCTCTACAGAATCAGAGAGGGCAAATTTCTCGTTATCAGCTCTGTCTGCCGCCTCATTTGCAGCACGGAGGCGGGAGACCGCCTCGGCTGGCTTGGCATGCTGTCCTGTGGACCTAGCTGCAGGAGTAGCCGGTTTTTTGAGCTGTGCCGGACGGCTAGTAGTCACCGTCGTTGAGGTACGGGGTGTTGGCTGGCTGATACCCGCCGCCTTCTCACACCTATTTCGTCCTTGGATGCTAATGCTACCTCCGTGGCCTGCTTCAACTGCGTCTCGCCAGATCTTGGCAGCTTCAGGCCATCGTTCAAGTTGCTCTAGCGCTTCGGCTTTCCCCATCAACGCCTTACCAAAAAATTCTTTCATGTCTTTGCTTGGCTCCCCGTTCCCTAAGTCGATCTTTTCTGACTCGCCTCTTGAAGGACCAATGATTGCGATGGCTGCATCTGCGTCGCTGATTGCTGATTTTGATTCGCCAATTTTAAGCCCGGTGACCGCACGATTACATAGGAGGATTATGGTGATGGGGTGCTTCTCCGGAAGCTGTGAAAGCGCATTCGAATATGCCGTATGGGCAGATACATAATCACCACGCTTAAAGGCTTCTGAACCTCTCTGGAGATGAATATGTGAGGACGCAAGAGCTGAAGATGAAACCTGAGGAATTTCGCGTGGAGGTCCTTTTGGACGGACCGGCAGCGGGTTGGGCGTCTGAGATTGACGTGCTTGGGGATGGGGTGATGTTGTTGCGGGACGTGGAGGTTGGCGCACCGTGCAATGTGCTTCAAGCAAGTCAGGCTGAGATTCCGAAGCGGGCGGTATTGCAACTCCTCTCCGTCTCCTTGCCGGGCTAATGTATGCTTGAGCGGCTTGCTCCTCAGCGTTCAGACGAGTGAGACGAGTTCGAGGGTCTTCTGTTATACGCGGTCGCATATCCCTCTGCACAGCAGCATGTGGTGAATGGCTTCGGAGGATATCTGATTTGGACATGGGCAAGGGCTCCTCCCTTCGCCTGGAAGGTTTGCTAGGCCTTGCACCTGATTCCAGCAGAATCACTTCATCTGTGAAATTACCTTGTTTTGGAGGTTTACTGCCTCGCACTCCAGAATGTGTTGTTTCCGAGGTAGTTGGGGACTCCCGCATCCAGCGCGGTTGATTTACGTCAGATGGGCCATTAAACTCCTGAACAGCTTGCTGCACTTTCTTCGTGCCGCTTTTCCAAAGGGAATTGGCCGATTTGAAAAGGTTATTGCCGAATTCAGCTGCCAACGCTGCCGCATCCTTTTCTACCGTGGTAGGGCTTCGGCTATCTGCACGATTGCTTGAGGAGCGAGACCGCTCTGTCTGCATCCAAGCCGGGACACCGTTGTCTCGGCGTTGGGCGGGTCTGCGACGAGAACTGCGGGCGAGGCTCTCATATTCGTATTGATCTTTCCTCAATTCTCTGATTTTCCCGTTCGCCTTTTGTTTCGCCTCCTCCTGAGCCTGGTTCAGCAGCCAGCCAACGGCAGCCTGAACATCTGTTCCAGACTCCGTGGTAGCAAGAGCCTTTTGAGCCTTGTCCGCGGGAAATCCCATGTCGACCAATTCAGCAATATATTTGTTTGCCGCGGAAACCGCTAGTGAAGGACCCGTGCTTGGCGCTTTCGCTAGCATAATTTCGTCTTCTGGTTTCCGTATAAATTCAGACACCGGTTTTCCAAGGGAGCCTAGAATGTCATCATTATCGGCTGGAGACGGGGGGCTTTGCAGTGTAGCCTTAGGCTTGAGGTCATGCAAACCGAATGGATCATCACCATCGTCGGTACTCCCTAAACCCTGATCCTCAGCTTGCCCATAATTCGAGGGGAGCTGCGAACTTGCCGCATTGTTATTAGTCGATCTGTTGCTATCAGGTATAGGGAAGTTCGTCGATGCATCAACTGGTACCGATGCATCGAAGGCTGCCAACAGGTCATCTTCGTCGGTTGAAGGGTGCTGTGGCTCAGATGATGTTTGTCCTGCGGGGGATGTTGAAGCGTGTGGCTTTTCGAAATTGTCCCAGAATTGTGCATTGCTCCCTCCATATTGGGCCTCGATATTGGCCCTTCTCTGCGCTTCCTGCCTTGCTCTCTGTTCTGCCAATTGCTTCTGTTGTTCGAGCAGAGAAAGCGATTTGCCGGAGTTGGAAGAACTAAATGTAACTAGGTTCGCAAAGCTATCGTTGACCGGGGTGGCTGTTTTTGAGGGTGGTTTCGAGCGCACCGAAGGTCCAACAGTTACGGGAGTCGATCGTCCAGACGTAGGAGGCGTCGGCCTTAAATCAGAGAATGCAGCTGCCGACGTAGACCCAACCGGGGCTGGTCTCCTCGCTTCGGACCCCGCGGAGAGATTCCAGCTGAGCCCCGACAAGTCATCCATGGGATTTCAGTTGGCGACTATTGTAGTTCTAGAGGTTGTTCGCCGTCAGATGGCGCGACAAGAAGCTTGATGAGGAGCAGAGGTCACTTCATTGACCTATTTGGAGGGATCGGTTAGGTTCCACAACTAACCCCACTTATTCATTATTACGGCAGCCTATAGTGACATAATCAACCACCTAACGCTCGTTTCCACCTAACACTCGCCTTTGTAAATCAATTACAATCAACTTCAAATATTCATATCTCACTGAATATTTATTTAAAACTACTCTAAAAAACAAAACAATAATTCATAGATATATATTATATTATATTAAATTTCAATGAGAAAATAACATATAATTATTAATTTATTAAGCTTTTTAAAATACTATTTTAAAATAAAATACACAGGCTATATTTGTAAATATATTTATAAATATAAATTATTTTCATATAAAAATTAAATATCTTATAGATTATGTATATTTTTAATAAAATATAAAATTTTATCTTGAAATTCTTATTTATTATTGATTTAGTTAAATTTTTATATAAAATCTTATATTTTAAAATACTATTTTTGTAATAACTGTATATTATTTATACTTTAAAATTGTAATTTCAATAAATTATTATATTAAATTATTTAAATATATTTATATTTAATAAATTATTTTTCAAAATTTAAAATTTCAAGAGTTTTCAATATTTTACTTGTAATTTATAAAAAAAAATTATAATACAAAAATAAAAAAATTCTTAAAAATTAAAATATAGAATTCTTATATAAAATAATTTAATATTTATTAAATTATAATATATTTATATAAGAATTATAATTTTTAATAATATATAATATATATTTTATTATACTGTATTGTATTTTCTAATTAAATATATATTATAATTAATTTTAACTATATTATAATAATTTTAAATTATATTATACTATAAGTCTTGATATTTATAAATTCCAAATTATACAATTAAAATAATGAATATTTATTGAGATATTAACATTTAAAGTTGATTGTAATTGATTTACAAAGACAAGTGTTAAGTGAAAATAAGTGTTAGATGATTGATTATATTATCATATACATACATCAATTATATTTATTCAATTTGCAATTAAACAGAGCTTACTTATTCAAAATCTACAGAGTACTTTAAAAGCTTAGAATTAGTAATTATAGTATCTGTAAGAGGTCTACACTAAATAGATCAGTATAATATTTATAGATCTTATATAATAAAGTGAAAAACATTAGAAAAGAAGAAAAAAGAGAAAGTATTATAATTTAAAAGAATATATAACTACTGAATAATAACACAGCTGCTTCTGAACTTACTTACAATTGTAAAGAGATTATAGCAGCCATCAATTAATTTAATATACTGTATATAAGAAGTCAGTGTACATCTGTAATTATACACTGACTTAAGTAATCTTTGAATCACATCTAATAGCATGTTTAAAAACCAGTAAGAAGTACAGACTCTTCAGAGTGTGATAATTCTATCTACAAAACAATTCATAGTTATTATCTCAGTGTGATTCTAAGACATCTTAAAAGATAATATATAAAAAAGCAGTGAGTAGAAGAGCATCTGATTAATACTACTCTGCTTATTAAAGAAAAACTTCACACTCAGATAAATACTATATATACAAATAGATAGACTGACTGTGTGACTGTGTCTGAGACTAGAATCAGATTTTTTAATAGTTCTATTATCAATTCAACCAATCTCATTACATGATTTTAACATTTAATAGTAGTCTTATACTGTCTCAGTGAGACTTACTGTCTACTCTTATCACATTTTTCAAATAAGATCATGATTTTCACTTCTCAATTTAAATTATTTTTAATACTTTTAAATGACTTTAAATCTCATTTAAGTATTATCAAAAAGCATTACTTTTTTAAAAATTAAAAATAGTCTAAAAAAAACCTTAAAATGTCTAAAAATAGTAACTTTATACTAAAAATGAGACTAAATGAGATCAAATGAAACCACTTTCTCATTTTTTTCAAGTCATGATTTCATTTTAAGATCTTATATATGATTACTTTGCATGTTTTTTTAATGACTAGTCTTAGTGAGATTCACATCAAGAAATGTATGAGACCAGATTAAATGTGATTAAATGTGAAATTCATGATCTCAGCGGTCAGTCTACAAATAGATGAGATGTGAGAAAGAGAATGTAAGCAGTGAATCAGATTCAAAGAAGATCACTCTCTACTCAGAAGAATAAAAGAGAGATAATTATCACTGAAGTTGCATAATGATAATAGAAAACAGAAATCAGAAATTATATAATAATATAATCATATAATAATATAATAATATAATGATATAACAATAGATATTATACAATTAATGAGAAATCACTGAAATAAATATATTCTCTAGTTAATATAAATAACACTTCTCTCTGCTACCTGAACTGAAAGATATGTAGAATCTCTCAGAGAGTTTACTTAAAGTAGTAAGAAAAATAACTGAGACTACTGAACTGAAATTGAAGCACTGTACATATACAAGAATTCTAAATAAGATTGAGATCTTGTATACACAGTAACAGACTGAGGCAGAAGTTAAACAACAATTAGCATTCACTGTAAATTAAGTATTCACTATGAAGAGCTTCACTGATGCAATTACTACTATTAATAAGAATAGAGAAAATCAGGTCTTAGACCTGTAGTGAGAGATCAAATGTTTACACAGATAGATAATTATACTGAATCTGAAGATTTTATCATAATCATTTACAATCTCTTCAGAAGTATACACATCATCAGAGATCACTACATAGAATGAGAATCTGAATATAAAATTCATTAAGTCAGAAGATCTGCTGAAGTCATTAAGCTTTAATAACAATTGAAAAAATAATGCTGTAATCAGCTAGCTAAGTCAGATATAGACTGACCGTGTGATTATGTCTGAGATCAGAACCAGATTTTTTGAGAGTCTTATTATTAATTCAACTGATATCATTACACAGTTTTAACATGAGATAGTAGTCTTATACAGTCTCAGTGAAACTTACTGTCTACTCTTATCACATTTTCTAAATAAGATTATAATTTCCACTTCTCAATATAAATTATTTTTATTGCTTTAAATGACTTTAAATCTCATTTGAGTGTTATCAAAAAGCATTACTTTTTAAAAAATTAAAAATAGTCTAAAAAAAACCTTAAAATGTCTAAAAATAGTAACTTTATGCTAAGAATGAGACTAAATGAAACCAAATGAGATCACTTTCTCATTTTTTTCAAGTCATGATCTCATTTTAAAATCTGATATATAGTCACTTTGCATGTTTTTTTAATAACTAGTCTCAGCGGAATTCATGCTAAGAAATGTATGGAATCAGATCAAATGAAATCAAACATGAAATTCATGATCCCGGCGGTCAGTCTAGTCAGATACAATTATATTATTAAATTGAATATGAACTCACAGACAGACAGTTAATGAAATTTCAACAAGTCTTAAGATCTGCTATATTTCTATGTGAAAAAGTGAAGTTATTATAAATAACTGATGCAAAGATAAATCTCACAGACTCAGAATAATATTCATTTTTATAAATATGAAATGAGTTTTTCAAATGAATCTTGCACAACTTTGATAAAGTGAATATATAAGATAAGTATTATAAACACTTTATAAAATGTAAATAAGTGAGTAATCTTATATTATACTTCACACACTTCAACTTACACTATCTCATATTAAATGAAGAGCTTTTAACATATTTCTGTTTACAGATCTTCATTCATGATTTTACACCTGAGTTGAGAGTGAAATGAAAATACTTAATCTCATAATCAGACACAGTGAAAGAAGTATATAATATTCTCATTATACAGAAACAAGTAAGTCAATTACAACAGAAAATACTGTAATTAAGAATATCTCAGTAAAGAACAGATAATCACACTTCTATAATACAAGTCATACATCTGAATGTGATGAATCTAGATTTGAATGCTATTACTAAAGCACTGAATTCTCTGAAAAAGAGATTCTCTAAGTGAAAATCTTGATATTATGAGTATCAAGCTTGCTTCAACTGTGAATATCAAAATCATGATACAAAGAATTGTATATAACATACACAGTTAAGAGAAGCAAGAGAGTCAAAAAACTAGCAGAATCAGTGAGCTTAGAGACACTTACTGATATTCTATGAAAAGTCTTCAAAGTGAAAGAGATATCTGTGTTAGATGATTCTCTGAATTCTACAAATATCAAGAGAAAGCAGACTTCTAAATGAGATGTAGATGAGAATGAAGTAAATACTCATCTGAATATCTTAAGATCTGAAATGTTAATGTATAGAGAGCACTTGAATAAGAATTGAGAGATGACTGTAAAAGTGTTAGCTGATATAGAAGCTTCTATATAATATATTAGTAATTATGTAATCTGAAGACTGAAAGAAATCTGCTGAGTGAAGAATCTCTGATACATAAGATTATCTGATAACTGATATTTAATATTATCTGTAAGAGTAAGAGTTTTCTTACACTTCAGAGAATAATCTTGCTGTAACGTGGCGGAACTGAAGCGGTGACTAGTCAGCGGCGTCATGTAGAGGTAGTTGTTTTGAGAAGCTGTATAAGTGAGCTTGACTATCTTGCTTGAATAGTGAGCTCATAGGCTACAGGGTTATTGCAAGAATATCACAGATATGATACTTAGTATACTAAGAAGATTATATGAGGCACGCAGTAACTCTCATATATATTTCAGTAGAAGTAAAAGATGAATTGCTGACTTCTTTGATGAGAAGTCAGTATCTAGCTATTCTATATAGATAATAAGTGAATACTCTTCTCTTATTTCATGAGTGAGAATAGCTGAAGTGATATCTCAGCAGCATCTTATTATCAAGAAAGAGTAATCTGCTGACCTTGTATAAAAGTGAGGTTCTCATATTCATTAATTAGATCTTTCTATGATACATCTGAATAATATCATAGAGTGATTGAAAATCAGTTTGAATGAGATGAAATCATCTGCATGAAAGTGATAAGTTGTGTGAAATCATAATAAGGTCTTAGTGCAGTCAGAAGTGTGACAATACTCTCTTCTTTAAGAGTATAGTTTCTATACTCTCAAGATTACTGAATTAGGAATTATCTTTATTGTATAGCAACAGTTGTTAATCAATTGACAGCATATGTGCTGTGTGTGATATAAAGAAATAGATGAGTTCTTCTGCTAACTGTGTAGATCTTTCTTTTCTCATCTTTATTTAAATTAAACATGTGATAAGTGAGTTTCTTATATATCAATTTAAAATATGAAAAATATAGTTAATAAGTGACTTGCAGATCTTTCAATATATTCTGTTCTATATATGAAATTCCCTGCAAAAGTAGTGTATTTTAGAGATAAAGCTAATAGTAGTGATAGAATTTTTTTCAAAAAGATTCTCTCTCTCTGTGATACATTTTTCTTTCCTCTCTCTCATCTGCAATAGTGAGTGTATAAGAGTATTATTCTTGAAGAACAGTAGAGGGCTTATTCTGACATTTTCTAGTGAGTAAACATCTTTGTGGTGCAGCGGCAGCCTCTGTGACTGTTAAGAAAGCCAGATTGAAGGCAGTGATGTCAATGAGCTGTGAGAGCACTGCTCTCATTGTCACATCTTCTTCTGCTTCTCTTGCAGTCACAGTGGAAGTTGCTGTGCCCTGCAGTGAGGTGTTATCCCTTCTGCCGGCTGATGTGTCTGCATTCAGTTTGTCCTCTGCCCCCCCTGCTGCTGTTGCGATGCCGCCCTCCTCAATCAACATGATGATGTATGACCCCATGTGGTCATTCAGAGAGGACTCCGGGGAGAGCTTGGTTCTGAGAATAGTGACTTTGAGAAGCTCAATTCATAGTTCCTCTTCTGTGGCATGTCTGAGCTCTGCTCAGAATACTGCTGAGTTGAGTCTGCAGAGTTCTGCAGTTTCTTCATCTTCTCTCTGTGAGAAGGCTCTGATACAGTCTCTGACTGACACTGTCACCTGTCTGCACTGCACTAAGCAGCTGAAGAAGAGGGGGATTTTATACATCTGCTTCTTCTATCACTTCTGTTATTTCTGTTGTATCTGTAACAATAACTTCTGTCTCTCTGTAAGTATTATCTCACAGAAAGATGTTGTGTCAGCTCTGATAAGAAGCCTAGATACTTAAGCAGTATAGAGTGAGAATCTCAGAGCTTCAAGTATTGATAGATTCTGTCAAGACTGAGGAGATTTCTCTTACTCATCTGTAAAAGAAGATGAAAGTGTGAGTCTCTGAGATGAAAAAACATCTCAGAATGACTGATCTTAAGAAGAGATCAGCTGATACTGCTGTTGAAAGCACTGTAGAGATTAATCACTGATTGAAGAGAATCTCACTTCAGTTGAAATAGATGACTGAGATACTTTATAAGTTGATAAGTTAATACTTTCAGTATCTCTTATACTCTTCTGTAGCATGCTTCTCTGCAGTGCTGCAGTGCTAACTTCTCAGCAGATAAAGATATCAGTGTCAGAGACTTCAACAGTGAAGAATGAGTTTGATAAGAATGTGATTATTGATAAGTAGACTCTGATCTCTCTTTTTACTTTTTCAGTGAGCTGTAGCCTCATTAGAATAGCAGCAGTTCACAGATTAATAATATTAATCTTTTTATTAGTTTCAAATATCTCTTTTCTTTTAACTGCTTCAGAAATGTTATACTTGTATAGTCTCATTAAACTTCTAAAAACTCTTTAAGAGAAAATAGAAGAAGAGTGCTATAGAGTCTACAAGATACTGGCTCACTACTGTGAGATTATCTCTAAAAAACTCTTTGAGAAAAATGAGAAGTCTTAAGCAGTATTTCTTGTTTAACATCTCTGATGTGTAATGAGATGATCTCTACTAGCTGTCTTATAGATTGCAATCTCTTCCTCAGTATTTTTCAAATGCTTAAGTAATTCTCATAAATTCTCTGATAATGAATAATCTTCTCATTTAATAAGATATTAAAGCTTGCTGTAATGTGTTTACTTATTCAATATTTTCTTTATAAGATATTTAGTATCACTCTCAATCTTGATATTATTCAGCTGAGACAGCTCTGTCTTAAGACATTGCTTATAGAGCTTTAAATAGAAAATGTGAAAAACAGAATGAATTGATTTCAATTCTGTGAGTAATTTCAACTTATATATCTGCTTACTCATCACTCTTGTTACTGGGAAAGATTCTAGTCATCACTCATTGAGCTTCTTATATAATCTCATTATCTTGATATTCTTTACTGAAAGTAGCACTTAATTCTCTATTAAGAACTTCATCAGAAGATGTTTTCAATTATAGTATTTTATCTATCACTTCTAAGTGTGATGAATGCTTTTCATCATCTTCTCATGAATTTTGTTCAAAAGTTTCAATCTCACTTTTACTTCTAGTACTGAGAGATACTTCATTCTCTGTATCTGTCTGACATTCTGACTGTCTATTTCTCTCTTTGAAATGTTGTTCATGACATCACTGAATAATAAAGAATTATATTCATAACAAGTATAGAAAGAAGATATCTTTAAGATTGTATTCTTTGCATTATTATATGTGAATTTAATGATCAGAAGATGTTTAAGTCAATCATTCTGATAATATGAATAGAATGCTTAAAGATGCTGTTCTAGTGTCTGATTCTAGCATTCAGTCTGATTATTGATCTGCAGATGAAATGCAGTACTAAGAAGATATCTTATCATAAGATGATAGCAAAAAGCTGATCAGTATTTACTGATGAACAGAGATTCTCAATCTGTTATCAATGATTTTGAAGCACTGTGATTATAAATGATGATATCTAAAAACAGGTCAGTCAATTCAGAGGCTTTAATCTTTTTATGAATAGAAATATATCTGATTATCTTCATGAAGCAGTTAATAATAATCAAAATTGAGTCATATTCTTTGACTCTTGTTAACTTCAGCAGGTCAACTATGAAATTCATTAATAGATTCTGTCATGAGTTCTTTGAAACAGACAGTGACATCAACTCACTGTATTGCTTATATTATGAAATCTTTATTCTTTGACAGATATTGTAAGTTTCAATATACTCTTTGACATCTGTCTGAAGCTTGTCTTAAATATATTTATATTTTAGAAGCTTCTCAGTCTTCTCTAACCTGAAGTGTTCTGTATAAGAATCATTATAATGAATTCTCAATAACTTCTGATGCACCGCCCTGCTATAAGAAATAAAGACTGAATCATTCAGCAGTAGAAGTTCACATTCTTCTAGTTATCAGTGACTTAATTTCTTAGTGACACTGTCCTGCTCAGAGTCTGTCTCTTTCAAGTTCAAACTGAATTCTTTCTTCTTCAACTTTTGAATTTGAGCTGCAGTAGAGACATTTCTCTTCTGTAACTTATCAATGAATTTTAAAAGTAGTCAGATTGAAAGATTGTAGACTGTTTTATTCTTTGCTAATTCAATAATTATAAGATGTGACATGAGAAGCTCATGATCTTCAGTATCAGTTCTTCACAGAGACCTGAATTCTCTTTCATCTTCTATACTGAGTCATGCAGCTGCCTCTTCAGCACTGTTTCTGAGCTTTAGAGAATCTCAACTCTCTGTAGCCAGCTTCTTCTGCAGTGATGACAGAGGTTCTTTTATAGAATTCTTCTTCATATTAACAATATTATAATCAGACTGTCTAGACAGTGTGTTGACAGGATTAAGCTGATCTGAATAATATCAGATATAGAAATCATACTCTGAAAGCAGCTTCATTCATCTGGCTTGATATTCTGTCAAGCTCTTTGTTATCAAGAAGTAATGCAGATTTGTATAATCAGTGAGAACTTGCACTGAGTACTTACTACTCTGAAGATAATGTTACTAGATCTTAAAGAATTTGACAATTACTAACATCTTCTAATCATAAGTATCATACCTTCTCTGCATGAGTGATAACTTCTTGAAGAAGAAGATCACTGATCTTTATTCACAGTGTCTTATAGACTCTGTAAAAAAGTCTTCTCTCACAGACAATTCATTATCTGTTTCTTCAGAAGTGATTATTCTCTGATTCTTTCAATGTTGAAAGATCTTCAGTATCAACTGTGAAAAGATTTCACAGATTTCATTTCTGAATACATCAGTCTCACACTGACTGAGTAAGTTGAGATTAAAATGATTCAGCATCATGACATCTGTGAAAGCTTGTTTCAATTCTGCAAACACCTATGCAGCATCTTGAGTGAGGATAAATAATTCTGTTTTTCTGTCTTTCACACTTCTCTTCAACAGATCTGTAAGAGAGACAGTAATCTGTGAATATGCATAGATAAATTATCTGTAGAAATTTGCAAATTCTAGAAATACCTGCATCTTGTGATACATTCACAGCACTGGCCAGTTCTCAATGACAGAGATCTGACTCCTGTTCATTGAAATGTCATTCATCTCAATAATATAATCTAAGAAATCAATCTTCTGCATGTAGAATGAGCATTTTTCAGTGTTTATATAGAGTTGATACTGTCTCAAGTGACTCAGCACTTCTTGAACATGAGTATCATGTTCTTTCTCTGATTTTGAGAAGATTAAAATGTCATTCAGGTATACTATGCAGGAGATGTTAACAAGGCCCTGCAGTGCCTCATTTATATAGGCCTGAAAGATGACTGAAGTGTTACAAAGATCAAAAGACAAAACAAGATATTCAAAATTATCATACTTAGTATGAAAAGCTGTTTTCCAAACATTATCTTCATTAACTCTGATTCTATGATAGACATTCTATATATCAATCTTTGAGAACATCTTTGCTTCAGATAATCAATCAATCATCTTATCAATTAATGATAATAAATAGTGATTCTTAACTATCATCTTATTAAGGCCTCTGTAGTCTATGCATAGATGTAGTCTATTATTCTTCTTAAGTATAAAGAGTATAGATGTTCCTGCTGAACTCTTTGATAAATGTATTCAGTTCTTTAATTGTGCTTCTTCAAGATATTTATGCAGAACATTCAACTTCTTTACAGATAAGTTGTAAAGAGGCCTGTACAGCACTGTTGCACTGTCTTCAAGACAAATCTTATATCACATCTTGATATCAGGAAACTTCACTGCTTCTCTTTTCAAAAAGATATTCTTAAAATCTGTAAAGAGACATTGTATACATTCATCTTCAATGATGAATACTACTGCTAATCTTGTAGTAAGAGTGATAACTTCTCTATCTGTTTTCAAGTTCTAATCACCTGCTATGCAGTATATTAACTCAATCTTTTTCTCAAGATTCTTTCAATGAAACTCTTCAGATTTCTCTATCACTGTCTCTTTATTAGTGAGATGATACTGTCATGTCTGAGTGACTCAGTCAATGAGAGAATTGTTTTCTCTTAATTACAGAAGATCTAGAATGACATTCTCATCTATGATGTTAACTGTGTGAAGGAGCAGACTGCTCTTCTTGAAGATTTCTTCTAAGTCTGTGATCACACACTTTGCTTGAATTATGTCAAAATAGTGATATTTCATTTCATCTGTAAATTTCACATGATCTGACAGATCTATCTTCTTTCAATTCTTTATTAAAGAAAAGGAATAGAATATGAAGTTGATATTCACTCTGAAGTTAAGTAGGCATCTCACTGATATCTTCTCATTCAAGGTATGCATTGTGATTGTAACATGAACTTGAAGATGTGAGAATTATCAATTCTTTTCTTTCTCTTCTTTATCTTCTACAGATACATTTGTCAGAAGAGGAGTTAACTTTGAGAAGATATCTTCTCAGTTCCTTCTCTTCTTCAGCT